CCTAAGGTGGTGGGTTCAAATCCAGCCCAGGCCCGCCAAATAACAACGATGCTGCAACCAAAAAACAGCCGGGCGCTGTGGCGGGCACCTGTGGTCCCAGCTACTTGGGAGGCGGAGGCAGGAGACTCACTTGAGCCCAGGAGTTGTAGGTTGCTGTGAGCTGTGATGCCACAGCACTCTACCCAGTGGGATAGCTTGAGGCTCTGTCTCAAAAAAAATTGGTACCTTTGGGGTGACGTCTGTGGCTCAGCAAGTGCCCCATATACCGAAGGCAGCGGGTTTGAATTTGGCCCCGGCCAAACTGCAACAGAAAAGTGGCCGGGCATTGTGGCGGGCGTCTGTGGTCCCAGCTGCGGGGAGACTGAGGTAGGAGAATCGCCTAGGCCCAGGAGCTGGAGGTTGCTGTGAGCTGTGGCGCTACAGCACTCTACCGAGGATGACAGAGTGAGACTCTGTCTCTAAAAAAAAAAGAAAGAAAAATCAGTATCTTTAAAACCACAGGTCAGGAACTGAAATTATCAAAGAGAGAAGGAGAAGCCCAGAACCCCTTTCATTGCTTGCCTGCTGTGGTCACGTGAGCCTTCTTGCAGTTCCCCAAACGCACTGAGCTCTTTCCCACTTTGCAATGCTTTCCTTTCCTGGAAATTTCCTTCCAGCACCTCATCCTAGCAAGCCCGCCCCGAGGCTTCCTCATCCTTCCGGTTTCCCCACACTCATTTCCTCCCGAGGAGCCTGGCCGGGCATCTCATCACCAGGTGGGAGTCTCGCCCTTACACCTCACTTAGTGTTCAGGCACTGCATGTTGCCACTTCTTTCGAATGGTTTTATCTTGTCCCCCTCGTCTTTCCCTTTACTGCTGGATATAGCTCTGTGGGGAGAAGAAATTAGTTGGGCACTTTGTTCATAGCCTTTTATTTTTCTCTTTATTGTTATTTTCTGAACTGTGGAGGGTGACCTAAATGCTGACTCAGCAAATATACAAAAGGGTTGCCTTTGCCCCAATTTCAGGGAACACAGAGTGTGCACACATGTGCTGACACGCACACACACATGCACATGCATGCCTACACAAAAATGGTGTGTATTGGAGAACTTTTTTTTTTTTGAGACAGAGTCTCATTTTGTCACCCTCAGTAGAGTGCAGTGGCATCACAGCTCACAGCAACCTCAAACTCTCGGGCTTAAGTGATTCTCTTGCCTCAGCCTCCCAAGTAGCTGGGACTACAGGCACCTGCTACAACGCCTGGCTATATTTTGTTGCAGTTGTCATTGTTTTTTAGCAGGCCCAGGCTGGGTTCAAACCTGCCACACTCCGTATATGTGGCTGGCTCCATAACCACTGTGCTATGGGGCTCTGAGCCATGTATTAGAGAACTTTTTTTTTTTTTTTGGCTGGGGCTGGGTTTGAACCTACCACCTCCAGCATATGGGGCTGGCACCCTACTCCTTTGAGCCACAGGCGCCACTCTAGAGAACTTTTTTTTTCACTGAAGCAGGGATGTGATGCTTTCAGAGGTACTTAGACATCTTCCCCGAGGTCTGTGAAGCAGGCTGCAGGTTTTTGCTCCTCCATCCAGAGAGCTACCACAGTCCCAGCTCATCTGCAGAAGCTTCGTGGCCTGGGGATGGGGATTACTCCTTCGTCAAGAGGTGTCCCTTCTCTCATTTCCTTTCCCTTTGGTTACCGCTGTGTCTAGCAGCCCTTCATTGAATTCTCCACACAGCAATCTTACCAGTCAGTGCCATTGGCTTATTATACTTCGCACCACTTCTGCTCAGTTCCTCCTCATAGGAAAATTCCAAATCATGGTTGGAGCTCATTTTGATTTCTTTCAAAATAATTCCTTCCAAAGGCTTCAGGGTTCGTGTTTTCCTTTCCATTCTCCCTGCTGGGTGAGCCTGCTGGTGGGCAGGAAGTTAACTCTCTTCTGTCAGGGAAACAGCTTGGATGAGAAGACTGGCACATTTTCTGTTCCTCCCCATATGTGTCCCCTTGGCTCTCCTTTGATAGGAACTGAGCAGCCTCTAAATGTGTCTTTTCTTGATTTTTGTCTCTTTGTATGAAAACAAAAATATCCATGGAATCATGTTCTCTTTCAGTGACCTCTTAAAATTGCTTGAGCAATGTACAAATAATGAATGGGGGGGTCCACGTGTGAACCTGGACAGCCAGGGCTGTTGGCAAAGCTAGAAGGGGGGGATGAGGAAAGAGCAAGCCCAAAGGACATCGAAGGAGACAGGTGTACTCTGCATTGGCCTCATAATCACAGGGGCCTGCGCAGCAGCCAGCAGCAGCCAGCAAATGCAGAGCTCAACTTTTGTGAAGGAACTAAAGAAAGGAAAAGGAGGAAATAAATAAAAGGAAGCAGGAATCGGCTGCTCAGACAGGGAACCAGTGGGAAAATTAAGAACAAGAAACACCCCATTTCCTGTTTATGGTGAGCAGAAAGGAAAGACTTAGGGGTTCCCCTTCTTTCTTTAGAAAGGATGGGAGGAGGACATCTGGCAAGGGGGAAGGGATTCAATAGGAGAAGGGCTGGCATTTATTGCAGTAGGAAGATTGCAGAATGCTTCTGAGTTGAGCTAAGTAGGTAACTAGTGGATGTTTCTGGTAGCCTTGGGGATGCCATGTTGGTTTGAGCGGATAGCCTCAGGATGCTTTGTCTATGTTGGATCATCCAGGGAGGGGGTATTTATTTTATTTTGTTTTTAGAAACAGAGTCTCACTCTGTTTGTGAGAGTGCCCTGGCGTCGTAGCTCACAGCAACCTCAAGCTCTTGGATTTGAGGCAACCCTCCTGCCACCCGAGTAGCTGGGACTACAGGCATGCATCACAATGCCCAGCTAGTTTTTTTTTTTTTTTTTCTGTTTTTAGTAGAGATGGGGTCTACCTCTTGCTCAGGCTGGTCTCAAACTCCTGAGCTCAAGCAATCCACTTGCCTTGGCCTCCCAGAGCTCCAGGATTACAAACATGAGCCACTCTGCCTGGCTGAGAAGGGTGTTAGTACTTGGTGATTAATGCTGATTTTTGTTGTTGCGGGTATTTGTCTAAATGATGTGTCCTCTTGCCTTTGACCTCTATAGATTATTCCTTGGGCCTGAATGACTTCACTGTTTCCTCCCCTGAGCTAATAGTCCATGTGGGGGATTCTGCTCTGATGGGATGTGTTTTCCAGAGCGCCCAAGAGAAACGGGTGATCAAGGTAGACTGGATGCTCTCCCCAGGAAATCATGCCCAGGTAATGAGAGGAGAATGTCGCTGTGGAGTAGAAGCCCCAGGCTGATGGTATCAGGACAGCGGGGAGGGAGAGAATCAGGCATCAGGTGCCATGAAGAGGGGGGCATTGCAAGAGCCTGGGGGTTGGAGCTGTCAGAGTGGCCTCCTCCTAGCTCAGCCACTTGTGGCTACAGACTCAGCAGGGCAAGTTACTCAACCTTGCTGAGCTTCAGCTTCCTAATTTATGAGGAGACAGGTAATAGTAACGATGATAATGCTTAACTCTCAGGCAGTTGGGGGTGGGGCTGTGGGAGACGGGCACAAGACCTTTTGTTAATTTCCTTCCTCTGTCCCTTACCCTTTCTAGAGTAGCACAGATGGGAGAGAGGAGTGATTCCCAGAGTCCAGACAGACTCGCCCTGACCTAGGGATAAGAGCAATGTCACAAATTATCTATTTGGGGGTGGAAAAGAAGACAGATTTTTTTCCCCCAGCATTCTACTGTCCCATTTGTGTGCCGGGGGAACCATCTTTTTCTCCCTTGGGGCTGCTTTAATTGCTGGGATTAGCAGATGCAGCCTGGCTGAGGGAGGGTCTTTCCTAGAGCTCTTTGGAATAGGAAACAATGTATTAAGCCTCATCAGGATGCTGGGGAGATACTTGTTATGTCCGATCCTTTGTGAAACATGTTGCAAATATACTTTGTTACTAACAATAATGTCCCAACATTTGCAAATGAAAAAAAAAATTTTGTAGTTTAGAGGATATTCCATGTTATCCCTACAATGTGGTTCTCAACTCAAATTTTTATTACTATAAGAGGAATAGACCCAGGGTGCAATAGAAATAAGAATTCCCCAGGACTCCTCCTCCCGCCCGGAACCCTTTCCTGTTGATGACTTCTCTTTTTGTGTGATGACAGCTGCCAGCAGGCTGTGCCAGGAGCAGGTTGTGCCATCCAAGCTGGGGCCATGGCAGAACGGGGTGAAAATGAGAGATGGTTTTTGTTTATTTTTTTTGAGAGATGTCTTTTCAAGACTGGGAGTTGGAAACCCCAGCGTGATCCTCAGAGCAGGTGTTTCATTTAACCTTAAAACGTAAGAAATAAAAACGTGTGAACCATATTTGTCCCTTTGCATTTGTAGAAAGCACAGACCTTGTGCAAGTTCGAATAGTGCCTGGCACCATTTTTAACTGAGTACCAAGTATTTTTCTTTTTTTAACTTTCAGGTTAAGGTGAGGGTACAAACAACCAAATGGCAATATTTGAATTTGTTAGGTAGAGTCCCTCTTGTAGCTATGTCCTGCACCCAAAAGGCATGTCCTATGCCCCTACGTTGTGAGTACCAACTGTGTTTGACCATCATGGTGGCGATCATTATGCTGTCTCCAAAACGGAGTCTTCTGGATTCATACTCCTAGGTCTAGCAGCTCTTTTGACCGAATGTCGTGTTGCCCTCCAGGATGAATATGTTCTGTACTACTACTCCAACCTTACCGTGCCTATGGGGCGCTTCCAGGGACGTGCGTTGTTGGTGGGGGACATCTTGCACAATGATGGTTCTCTCCTGCTCCAAAATGTGCAAGAGGCTGACCAGGGCATCTATACCTGTGAAATCCGCCTGGAAAAGGAGAGCCTGGTGTTCAAGAAGACTGTGGTGCTCCATGTCTTACCAGAGGAGCCCAAAGGTACGTGGGTGCTGCTTCAGAGAGGGGCCAAGGGGTGAGAGATTTGATGCGCGAGAAGCAAGGGGGCTGATTTTGTTGAACAAATACCGGCCTTTGGGCTAAGTCCTTACCACTGCATCAGTCTTCAGTAAATGACAATAGTTATTTTATTAACTAAAAATGATTAAATCATTACTTTATTATTACACTGATTTCTTCTTCATGAAAGCCCTGTGAAGGATGCATTATTCTTTCCATTTTACAGATGAGATAACTGAGGCTTGGAGAAATTAAGTGACTTGTTTAAAGCCACATATTTATTAAATGGCATAACCAGCACTTGAACCCTGGCTCCTCTGACAACAAAGCCTGTGTTCTTTTTACTATACTGATAGCTCCCACCGATTATCCACATTGATGCCACGTCCATGTTTTATGTCACATACCTGTGTTAGGTGTTCAGGGGGTTATAAAAGAAAGGAGCAGATCTTTCTAACTTCTTTGCACTTCATTTTCCTGTTTATGAATGGAGGCTGTGGCGTTGGCTGATGGATGGTGTTAGCATTGTGCACTGTAGAAGCAACCCTGGTGCTCCCAGGAACCTCAGGGCAGGAGGGGAGAGAACAGGGCCAGGGTGGGTAGAAGACTCAGATGGGACCCCAGGCTCTCACCTCCATTCCAACCAAGTCCTTTTCCTTTCCCCTGTTTTATTCATTGAGATTCTATTTGTTTGTTCCTTTAAAATAATTTAAAAGTGAGTATATGAGCTGTGGTGGCTCAAGTTCTGGTAGGGGAGGATGGGCCCAGGTTTCTTTCCTTCTTTGACCAAGTATTAGTTGAAGGGAATGCAGCTGAGACTATAACCAAAAAGGGCATTGTGCTTCTAGAAAAATTTCCCAGATAAGTATTGTAAACAACAGTAGGAGCTGTTGAATCAGGCTGTAGAGAAAAGGGTGGAGAGATTCAACCAGTTGGCATAGAAGTTGAAGGTAAAGTTCTTCTCCCAGAATCTAGACTATGGAAGCACCGAAGTAGTTCTAGATGTCAGTGATCATTTCTTATTTAGAGATGGTGACATTCTTGGGAAGTTTACTTTACTAGTGAAGTCAGTCACTACCGAAATGGCCTCCCGTGAAGCTGCCCATTCCTCTGAAGTTCTGAAATCTTTCATCATGTACATAACTCCATGCCTCTCTTTTATAATATACTAGTGATGTCCAAATTAACGACATCCGGTGTCTCTGAAATTTAGTCTTGCTGTATTGATATATTTATAAAGAAAATATTATAACTGAAGAAAAGTTTGCAAGCCTCAGAACTAGATGCATTCTTTTTTGGGTTGCAGCCATCATTGTTGTTTGGTGGGTCCAGGCTGGATTTGAACCCCCCAACACAGGTGTATGTGGTTGGTGCCTTAGCTGCTTGAGCCATAGGCGCTGAGCCAACTAGATGCATTCTTTATGAGTGTAGAATAGAATGAACCACCTTGTGGCCTCAGGAAAGCCTGCAGTCTAGTTAGAGAGCTGGAATCTGGGGCCTCCTCTTCCCAGCTAGCTTAGGCCTCAGCCTCTTAGCTCTGACAAACTCCTCCCAAGCACCCCATCCTGTTCTTTGGTGACACTCCTTACATGCACGCAGTTGCGTCTTCCCTGCTCGCCCGGGTCTATAGTCTTTGTCCTGTGGCCAGCCCTGGGCACAGGGCCGGGCACAGAGTAAGCAATCAACAGACATTTGTCTAAGGAATGAAGTTCTTGCATCAGCATCCTTCACTTGAATCTGATTTATAAAAAACAGAGTTGTAGAAGGTGGCCTCTGGCCCCTTTCTTCATTTTTCCTCTTTTTTTGCCATTTTTCTCTTACTTCCAAAGCTGTGGTTCTTCAAGAAGAAACAAATCAGGCTCGGCGCCTATAGCTCAACCGGCTAAGGCGCCAGCCACGTACACCTAAGGTGGCGGGTTCGAATCCCCAGCCGGGACCCGCCAAACAACAATGACGGCTGCAACCAAAAAATAGCCAGGCGTTGTGGCGGGCGCCTGTGGTCCCAGCTACTTGGGAGGCGGAGGCAGGAGACTCGCTTGAGCCCAGGAGTTGGAGGTTGCTGTGAGCTGTAATGCCACGGCACTCTACCCAGGGGGACAGCTTGAGGCTCTGTCTCAAAAAAAAAAAAAAAAAAAAAAAAAAGAAACAAATCAGATGCCTGTATTCCCCCAGGATTCTCTTTATGTATCCTTTTTTCTGCCTTTGTTCTCTAAGGGCATGCCTGAACCTTTGTCTTTACAAGCATAGACAGCCCTTTCTTGCTTAGAAGAGACAGAGAAGAAACCAAAGCAAATTGTGGTATATGTACACCATGGAATATTATGCAGCCCTAAAGAAAGATGGAGACTTTACCTCCTTCATGTTTACATGGATGGAGCTGGAAAATATTCTTCTTAGCAAAGTATCTCATGAATGGAAGAAAAAGTATCCAACGTACTCAACCCTATTATGAAACTAATTGTTAACTATCATAGGAAAGCTATAATCCAAATGGAGTCCAAGAATATCGGGAAAGGGTTGAGGGAGGGGAGGGAAGGGGAGAGGATGGGTGGAGGGAGGGTGATTGCTGGGACCATGCCTATGATTTATCCTATAAGGGTACATATGAATCTTTCTAAATGTCGAATATAAATGTCTTAACACAATAATTATGAGAAGGACATGATGGCTATGTTGGCCAATTGGATGAAAGTATTTCAAATTGTATGTGGAAACAACACACTGTATCCCATGATAGAATTAATGTGTACAAATATGATCTAATAAAAAAAAAGAAAAGAAACCAAAGCAGCCAATTATAAGAGGTGAATAATCCAGGGAAAAAGTCTAGAACAATGTTAGGAGTAATTAGATACTTCCTGAGTAGCTAGCAGAGCAATTAGTATTGTTTTTTTCTTCCAGCCAAAAGGGGATCCAATCCAAGCTCTAACAATTTTGCCGAGTGGTCCAGGGCTAAGTTGTTCAACTTGCTCTACATAGATAGTCTCTGTCCACTTGGAAATTCAATTTTGCAGTCGTCTATAATTTTCTCTATAAAATTTATCCTTCAGTTTCTAATTTTTCCATGATTCTACTACTTTAATTCCTTTTTCATAGTTCTTACTGTACATACTAGAGATAAAAATAATAATAACACTAATTTCCTATACTTTTGCTCTGGAATCAGCTGCCCTTATGTGAGATGGTATGTTATAGTGAGTAAGAAAGCTCAGACCTAGTGGCACCTGTGGCTCAAGGAGTAGGGCGCTGGCCCCATATACTGAAGGTGGTGGGTTCAAACCCAGCCTCGGCCTAAAAAATAAAGAAAGCTCAGACTTTATTTCCACACAGGCATGGGTCTGAGTGCTGGCTCCTCTGTTACCGGCCATGAGGCTTTGGGCTCTTTCTCTTTCTTCTATAAAATGGGAGAGTAGCAGTGAAACCTCAAAGTAGTGTAATGACTATGATATATTGTGTACTACACATAAGGCATCTAGCACCTGCCTGGTGCCTTGAAAGTATTCTGAATATCCAGTTATTATTATTGCATTTAAAAAATAGAATTTAGTACTTGATGTGCTGGTAGATCTAGAGGGAGTTTCCTTCCTTCCTGGTATCCTTTGGAGTAGATTTTTATTATTTTCAAAATAATTTTCTTCACTGAGTTTCGAGTTCATACATTTTCTTCTGCTTTCCTCCCATCTCGCAGCTTTCCTGCTGGGCAGGAAGTTAATGTTCTCCCAGGGCAACAGATTGGATGAAAGGTCAGCTTGTGTATTCTGTTTATTCCCTCATGGGCTTTGCTGAATGCTCTTTTGGAGGAACTCTGTCCAGTTAAGACCTAGGCTTGTGTCTCCACATATACCATCCTGCTTCTCATCTCTTAATCAACTTTATGGTTGATTTGGGTATTGCATGACTGAAAAAATTGGAAACATCTTTCTACATCTTTTCTGTCTTATGCATGAAATACATGATAGGTCAGCTGCTCATATAAATACGCAGAAGGGAGAGCCTCGCAGTTGGAAAGCCAGATCAGAGAAGGGGGGTCAAGTGGGGAGGGTGGGGGCAGGAGAAGGCAGGCTTGAAACAGAAGGCAAAGTCAGGGGAGAGCTGTCTACTGTCTTGGCCTAACTCGTAAGGAGTCCCATGACCTGTACGGGAGCCAGAACCAAGTCTTAAGTCAGTCCCAAGACAACTCATAAAAAGAATAAAAGAAGTCTAAGAAAGCGAAGAATGATTCATTTTTTTTTCAGTGAGGAGACTTGGTGGGCTGTATGTAAGAATCAGAGTCATGTAACCTTCCACTTCCTGTTTATGCTAAGCAGAGATGGGTGTCTAAGTTGAGGAATAGAAAGTGGGGGCTTTGAGATTTTTCATACAGATATGATGTGGCTTTGGAGTTCATGGGAGGAATTCTGGAAAAGAGGAAGGAGAAGGATAAAGGTGACCATAAGTGTTTCTTGCAGTACAAAGGCAGCAGAAACCCTCAGGGTAGGCATATGTGAGCATAGACCAAGGGCCCTCAAACTTTTTAAACAGGGGGCCAGTTCACTGTCCCTCAGACCATTGGAGGGCTAGACTATGGGCCCCAGGACAAGTCGACTGCTAAACAGGACAGGCAGCGGCGGCTAAAACACCGGCAGGCTGGATAAATGTCCTCTGCGGGCTGCATATGGCCCGCGGGCCATAGTTTGAGGATGCCTGGCATAGATGGTCCCCTTGGGGATGACCATGTTGGTTTGAGTGAGCAGCCTCTGAGTACTTTGTCCACATAGAATCATCTGGATTAACTACAGAGGGAATATATGCAGGGTTTGGTGGCAATAGTCATGTTTGCTGCTCAGGGTATTTGGCTAACTATTATCTTTTCTAGAAATGTGTTGTTTTCTATAGTTTATCCTTTGGGTCTGACTTGATTTACTGTTTTGTCCTCAGAGCTCGTGGTCCATGTGGGTAATTCAGCAGTGATGGGATGTGTTTTCCAGAGCACAGAAGAGAAACACGTGACCAGGGTAGACTGGATGTTCTCAGCAGGCGAGCAGGCCAAGGTAACCAGAAGGAAGCGTCACTGTAGCGGGACAGACAGGAGAAGAGCAATCGGGCATCAGGTGCTGTGAGGTGGTGGTGTAAGAGCCTGGGCTTCGGAGCTTGTCAGACTGGGCTTTGTCCTAGCTCAGCCATTTAGCTGAGCTTCCTAGTTAGAAAGATCACTCCAATCAAGATGGCGATGATGAAACTTAACCTTTATTTTATTTTATTTTTTTAGAGACAGAGTCTCACTTTATTGCCCTCAGTAGAGTACTGTGGCATCACAGCTCACAGCAATCTCTAACTCCTGGGCTAAGGCGATTCTCTTGCTTCAGCCTCCTGAGTAGCTGGGACTACAGGCCCCCTCTAGAACACCTGGCTATTTTTTTGTTGCATTTTGGCTGGGGCCAGGTTCGAACCCGCCACCCTCCATATATGGGGCTGGCGCCCTGCCGACTGAGCCACAGGCACTGCCTGATACTTAACCTTTAAATACTAAAATGAGATGGTACAAGTAAAGCATTTTGTACATGACTTGGCCACTGCCTTTTAGTTTCCTTCTTTCTCCCTTTTCTCTTTATAGAGTCCATGTGAGAATGAGAAGAATGATTTTTGTGGTCTAATCAGGAAGGCAATAAGAACATAGCCATTCTTATTCTTATTTGGATTATTTTTGTGAGTTTTCATTTGTGCTCCATTGCGCCATCTACAGGATGGAGGGAATTTTCCTCATCTTCATGGCTGCCTCATATGTTATCCTGGGGGCCAGGGTGAGGGGTATTTCATGGGAACTCTGTAAAGCAGTAAATAGCAAATTAATTCACCAGACCAATATATCTCAGCCATGATGTGGTGATGTCTTTGTGTGTCAAGACGTGTTGTGAGGGATAGCCCAGCTATCTTGCTATTAACAAAGGTCAAGATGCAAAATGTTTAAAAGATTTAACTTTTATAAATTAAAACATATTCCAGGTCATCCCTCTAAGAAATCATTTACACTCACTTGTTTCCTGTATGCTCTCTGCATGGGTCAGAAAAAGCATGGTGGTAGAATCTGGGGAATCATATGTAGTTCTAAGTTCACCGCTAAGAGCGCGTCATGCATTTAAATGTCAGCCATCAAGTGATTCACAGCAGAAAATAGGATAAGGGTTGACATTTTGAGGTTTTGACTTTGAATTGCAGTAGACAAAAGGTGAGGGGCCAGGTGACTTCATTTGGGTTTGTACATGTATCTGCATACATATTACCTTTTCTTAAAAGCTCTTTTGATTGATTGATCGACTGGAAATGTGGTCTCATTATGTTGCCCAGGTTGGCCTTAAGCTCCTAGGTTCAAATGATTCTCCTGCCTCAGCTTTCCAAGAAGCTGGGATTATAGGTGCATGCTATAACCACTGCACCTAGTTAAAGCTTTTCTTCTTCTTTTTTATATTGGCATACCTTTATAAAAATTTCAATACTCAGTATTTTTGGAAGCATCTGTTGTGAGAATGATTACTCAAAGCCCCTGTCTTGATAGGGGACTTACAATCAAGATGGAGGGAGATACACAGTAAAATAATAAAGAAATAAATATTCACTACATCAGGTAATAGTGAGAGCTATGGAGAACAATAAAGCAGGGCTTTCTGGTTGTTATTTAATAGAGGTGGTGGGGGAGGCCTCACCGAGAAGGTAATTTGATCAGAGGTTAAAGGAGGTTGGGGGTGTGTATGTCTGAAGGGGAGAGTGTTCCAATCATAGGGCATAGCAAGTGCAAAGGTCCTGAGGCCAGTATTTACAGAGCAGCAAGGAGGTTGGTGTGGTTGGAGTGAAGTAACCCAAGTTGTGAGAAAAGAATAGAAGATAAGATGGAGTCAGAGAGGAAAAGGAGATTGGGGGGAGCGATTGTGCAGGGCCTTGTAGTTTTAGTAGAAGTGGGGGGATGGACGGAAGGGTTTTGAGCAAGGGGTAACATGATTTAAGCTACATTTTTAAAGGCTCATCAGATGAGAGCAGATTTTAGTAGAGAGAACGCAGGGGAGCCAAGTATGGAAGCTGTTGCAGGAATCCAGGTGGGAGATGGGGTAGCTTGGACCAGAAAGCTAACAGTGGAGGAGGGAGAGTGGCCAGATTTGGAACACATTTTAAAGGTAGAGAGAGGTGAGGGGATTTGCTGAGGGTTAGATGTAATTCGTTCAAGATTGGGAGGAATTGAGATGACTCCACGGTTTTTAGCCTGAGCATCTGGAAGAAGGCATTGCCATTTTCCAAAATGGGATGGACTGGAAGGAACTGGTTTGGGAGAAAAATGAGGAGTTCAGTTTTAGACACCCTTCAGATGCCTGTGCAAATCCACGTGGAAATGTCACACAATGTACAAGGTGGACTTTTCTTTATTCATTGGAGAAGTGCAAAAAGTGAAAGTCCCTCATTCTCACCTTTCTCATTCCTCTCTTCAGATGAGAATATTGTTCTTGGTTTGGTGATGTCCTTTTAAGCACCATGCACACATACACGTGTGTATCACGACTCTGTGTCAGCTAATTTTTTTTGAGAGTCTCATTTCGTCTCCCTCAGTAGAGTCGTGTGGTGTCATAGCTCACAGCAATCTCAAACTTTTGGCCTCAAGCACTCCTCTTGCTTCAGCCTCCCGAGTAGCTGGGACTACAGGTGTCTGCCACAATGCCTGGCTAGTTTTCTTATTTTCAGTAGAGACAGGCTCTTGCTCTTTCCAGGCTGATCTCAAACTCCTTTTTGAGTTCAGGCAATCCACTTGCCTCGGCCTCCCAGAATGCTAGGATTACAGGAAAAAGCCACTTCGTCCAGCCATCTAATGCTTCCTGGTAATGCCTTTCCTTCTTTCACAGGGCAGGGCCTGGGCATCCTGAGATTGCCACCCTCTTCCCTGTACTCTGCCCCGCCCCCCAAGTCATCACAATCTCATACCTTTTGTCTTTTCCTTCTAGGAGGAGCTAGTGCTACGCTATCACTCCAAACTCAAGATACCTGTGGGGTACCCCCAGAACCGGGGAAAGTTCCAGAACCAAGGCCGCTTCCAGAGCCGTGTAAACCTGGTGGGGGACATTTCCCACAATGATGGTTCCATCATGCTTCAAGAAGTGAAGGAGTCTGACAGAGGATTATACACCTGCCATATCCACCTGGGGAGCCTGGTGTTTAAGAAAACTGTTGTGCTGCATGTGATCCAGGAAGAGCCTCAAGGTATCTACACTTGGGTAGGGAGGGCTAAGGGATCTCCTCGCTGGTTAGTGGGGCCGGGACTAGCAGGGGCTGGAGGGGCAGAATGGAAGGGGCCTCCCTCAGGTGCTGACCCTGTATTTGCACAAGCCAGAGCTTTGCAATGCCTGTTACAGTTTGGCTCTATCGGTGCCCTGCCTGCCTCATTCCGGCTCCAGCCCCGGTGCTAGGCTGAGGCAAACAGAGCTAATATTTAGGGAACAGCAGCCTTCTGCCAGCCCCACTTACGGCAGTGTCGTCAACTGGCGTAAAGATACGGGAACTCAGGGATGGACTAGAATGGACGTCCAAAGTCATTTTACTTGGCTTTAAGGGAGATGCTGTGTGCTCTGTAGTGGGAGGGAGAATGGTCCCCAGAAGGTGAGAGACAGCAAGGAACAGAGACAAAACAGGAAGGCACCAGAACCAAAAATGGGGGGGGGGTCTTTTGGTCAAAGGTTCTGGAAACTGTGCATCAGGGTCTCTAGCCTGTGGGAGAATAAAGACTTAATTGTGTTGATGGAGAGAGGTTGGTGAGTAAGGGGTTAAAGTCAAACCACAACCCAGTTAGCAGACAGGATGTGGCCTGTGGACTTTGCTTCTAATAGGGCCTTAAGGGGCTGGCTGCAGTCGCCTGGGGGTTGGGGAGATGGGGCTGAGGATGGAACATACCTTGGTACTCAGGCCAACGACTTAGGTCTCTGGGGACACCCTCTCCTTAGTAACAGGGAAGCAGGACAGGTGGTTTTCTTATTTCTATGCTTCACTCTCAGGAGTCTTTCCTTCCCTTCATAGAGAAAATGCAAGTCATTATAGAGGCTCTACCCACAAATATATCCACCTCTCCCCCATTCTTACCTCTGTCCCTTCAGCTCTGGGCTTATCTGGCCCCCTGTGCTGAGGAATCTCCTCACATGGCCACAGTCTCACTTTTTGTTGGCTTCAGCATACAAAAATTTGCCCAGTTCAGGGCAGTGCCTGTGGCTCAAAGGAGTAGGGTGCTGGCCCTATATACCGGAGGCAGTGGGTTCAAACCCAGCCCTGGCCAAAAACTGCAAAAAAAAAAAAAAAAAAAAAAAAAAAAAATTGCCCAATTCTTCCTCTTACCTATGTCCTTATTTACATCAGCTTTCCTCCCATATTTCTCTCTCTTTTTCTTTTTGTTTTTTTTTGAGACAATCTCACTTTATCACTCTCGATAGAGTGCTGTGGCATCATAGCTCACAGCAACCTCAAACTCTTGAGCTCAAGCGATTCTCTTGCCTCAGCCTCCCAAGTAGCTGGGACTGCAGGCCCTCACCACAGTGCCTGGCTATTTTTAGAGATAGGTTCTCACTCTTGCTCAAGCTGGTCTTGAACTCCTGAGCTCGAGCAATCCACCTGCCTTGGCCTCCCAGAGTGCCTTTCTTTTTATTAAAACAGCTTGCCTGAGATACAATTCATATACTTTTAAAATTCATATACCATATATAATTTATCCACTTAAGATGTATAACTCAGTGGTTTTTAGTATATCTATAGTGGTACAATCATCATAATCAATTAGGTCTTTATTTCTCAGCATAGCCAAATAGCTCACTAGAGGGCCGTGCATGGTGTCTTACAGTCTCTCTCCCTTAACTCCTCAGTGTGCTACATTCTAGTCCCTCCTTCTACCTCTGTACTGGCCCAGACTACGAATGCCACTCTGAGCACCATCCCGCAGCCTTGTTCACCTTAGTGGTAGTGGACACCGTACATACATTCTGTGTTGGCACAGTTATGTGTGTGTGTGAACTCCACCCAATTTTTTTATAAATCCTTTAAATATACTGTGGCCAAACCTATCCCTACTCACCTCTCCCCAGGCTCAGTTAATGCACAACTGTACACAGCTGTCTACCTGGATGCCTGCGGTGGATTTGATTCTTCCCTTCCCTCTGATGACCCCTAACCTGACCATCACCAAGCGCCTCATTTCTGCTGCTCACTCTGGAAGCTGTCTTCCTTCCCGTCTGTTGGTCCTGGCTCAGTTCTGGTTATCTTCGCCTCTGTCTTGGACCGCAGGTCTCTAACTAATCTCTGCTTTCCTTCTCAGCCACCTCCCCTTGTTTTTCACGCTGTTTGTCATGGCTCCTGGTGCCCTCTTTCTAAATCACAAACCAGAACTTTCTATTCCTTGGCTTCTAATCTTTCAATGGTTTTTCCCTTGCCTCCCCCAAAACAGCCAGATTCTTTCTTGAGATAATCAAGGTCCTTCCTGACTTGGATCCTATCATCTTTTCTGACTAATTCGCCACCGTGCCCACAGATGCAAACTTTGTGTCAGACCCACTAAACTATTTCTAGTTCCCGAAGGCACCAGCCGCCCTCACAGGCCTCCAGATCTTGTGCACCACATCCTCTCTGTCCTGCCCCACACTGTCTGCCCCCCAAAACTGGTGTGCCTTTCACATTCAGGTTAAACTTTAAAACCTCTGCTGGCAGATTTTCTTCTGCTCCACATAGAATTGGGCACCCTTTTTTCTGTGCTGCTCTGGGGGTCCCCTACAGATGGTGGTTTTTAGTTTACATGTTCGTCTCCCTACTTGGAGCATGTAGCATTCATCTTTGAATCCTCTGTGCCTAGTGCCATCTGCCACTGAGGAACTGTTTGATATATATATATATATCTACACACACACACACACACACACACACACACATCTTTAGAGTGAATTGAAGAGTGAAGGGTATCGTATGGGCAGAAATGCCTCTGAGGACCTTACTTGGTGTCACCACGGTGGGGCTGAGTGTTGTAATATGTATTCTTTTGAAAACCATCACTCATCCATCAAAAGATCAGCAGCCTCTAAAATGCCTATTATTTCTAGGTCATTTGGTAAACCAAATTTTAAAATAGAATTGGTGATGTGAAAGGAGCTGCCGGTCTAGATGGAGTAGCTAGACTCTTCTCCCACCCACCTTCAGCTGCATATTAGGGGTAAGGAAGGGATTCAGACTTTAGGTTCTTAAACTAAGGGAGACAGTGTCCCCACGGTCCCGATCTGAGATGGAGTCAGGCCTTCTCCCTCTGCCTCCTGACCTGGCTGTTGTTCCTTGCTAGAGAACCGATGGGGCTCTTAGCTCTTTTCTGGAGTCTTGAGACCCTCTTGTTGCTTTTCTCCTTTTCCAAGTATTGGTGACCCCAGCAGCCCTTGGACCTGTGATCCTAGGCGGTTATGAGCTGGTGATCATTGTGGGGATTGTCTGTGCCACCATCGTGCTGCTCCCCGTTCTGATACTGATCGTGAAGAAGACCTGTGGGAATAAGAGGTACAAGGCTGCCCTTACCCCTTGGGTTTGGAGGCTGGGGATACAGGACCGCCCTAACCCTAAGTGGAAGAGAGTGATAGGGTCTTCACTGTGCCATCCTGACCGAAGGAGGATTTTGGTTTTGAGGAGGATGATTTTTAAATGGAATCATCTGTGGTTGTCACGTTAGATGTCGTTGTATAATAACCCCAACTCCTTTGCTCACTGTGACCCTGAAAATACTTGGACATTCCTACACCAGCTTCATTCATTTTGGTGTTATGCAAATATTACAAACACTCTTACACATGAGACTCCAAGTAGAGCATACTTAAGAGTATAAATCTTATGCAAGAACTATCATGGTACCATTCAGGGCCTGAGAGAAACGATTTATCCACACTGTATGTTTCATATAGAAGCTAAGATCTTGAGGGTTGCCATTGGTTTTATTTAAAGCTGCAGTCCCTAACCTCTGGGCCCTGGGCTGGTACTAGTTTGTGGCCTGTTAGGAGACCATAGCAGGAGGTGAGCAGTGGAGGAAGAAAGGCAGCTTCATCTGTATTTATAGCTGCTCCCCATTACAGGCATCCCCACCTGAGTGCTGCCTCCCATCAGATCCACCCTCTCCACACCCTCCACCATCTGGGGAAAAATTATCTTCTATGAAACTGGTCCCTGGTATCAAAAAGGTTGGGGACCACTAATTTAAAGCACCACATTCTAATTAGGAGAGGCTGTTTGCAATGGATGCCTTTAGGTTCCAAATGAATTATTGATGAAATATGTTTTTAAAGGCCTGAATTTCATCAGTAGTTCTCCCAGGGTTTTGTAGACACCCAGATGCGCTGACGTGGACACTAGTATTTCACTGGTTGTTGTAGATCCATGTCCTTCATTAACCCAAGATTGACCCTCTTGTTGAAATGTGTCCACGGGAAAAGAAATCTATGAAATGATGTTGACTTTTGAGTGTCTTTTCCTCGTGGAACGTGGATTAGACAGAAAGCCCTGTGCTTGCTAGGTTTGTGCTCTGCTCCCCAGGGCTCTCTGATTTGTTTTTTTTTTTTGAGACGGAGCCTCAAGCTATCCCCCTGGGTAGAGTGCCATGGCATCACAGCAACCTCCAACTCCTGGGCTCAAGCGAGTCTCCTGCCTCAGCCTCCCAAGTAGCTGGGACCACAGGCGCCCGCCACTACGCCTGGCCATTTTTTTTGGTTGCAGCTATCATTGTTGTTTGGCAGGCCCGGGCTGGGGATTCGAACCCACCACCTTAGGTGTATGTGGCTGGCACCTTAGCCACTTGAGCCACAGGTGCCGAGCCTCTGATTTGGTTTTGAACATGATTGGCCTCTGTAGAGAGCCTTTGCTCTGGTCATCCTGAGATCACTGAATGGAGAGCTAGAAAACTTGGGTTCCATGATTAGCTTACTTCCCCTCTCTGGGCCTCAGTTTCCCTCAAAAGAAAGGGCAGCATTTCCATGTCTAGTAGTTTATTCTAAATAAATAATCAGGTGTATATTCTGAGATTTGTGGATAAACATGGTCACTGCAGCATTGCTTATAATTGAAAATTGGAATCATCGTCAGTGCCTGTCAGAAAGGTAGTGATTCAGTGAATCGGTATTTCTCTCAATGAAGCACTGCACAACCTCACGTAGAATGACATGGAAAGACAGCCAAGGGATAATAATATAGAAGATATAGTATGATGTCATTTTTACAGAAGAAAAAATAATATAATGCTCAGTTCAGGAATATGGACATTAAATATATTTTATGTAAGTTATGCTTGCATTGAGAGAGGTTTGGAAGGATAATTCTAAAATACTACTGGGGGTGTGGTATTTGAGACAAAGGAGAATGTAGATCTCATGAAGTCAGGCCTCTACTGGGAGCTGCAACTTCCAACATTTCTGTGTTCTTTGGATTTTACAGAAAGAATATACAACTTTATAATCAGAAAATAGGGGGAAGAAAGCCTTTCCCTCCTCTCCTCTACACGCTTTGCCTTAGGCCAAAATGGGAAAGCATGTATTTCTAGAAGCAAATGTAGAAAGCAGGGGCTGGAGCTCCCAGCTTGGTGGAGGAGGGTTGGGGATTGGGGGTTGTGGGGATAATTCTGTCCCGCCCCCAGGAAAGGCCAAGACTGGCATCCTGCTGAGCCTCTGCTGCCCCCTGCTGGTGTGGCTGTATCTCCCTCGTCCTCAAATGCTGTCTCTACTCATTCTCTCAAACCCATGTCTTCCTTTATGGACAGAAAGTTATGAGAGTAGTAACAGAGAAGTTGAAGCTATTTTTCAGGCTAAACTATCAATGGAAAAAAAAAACCAAACTATCAATGGACTCTTTGTTCTTTATTAGAAGAAATGCACTTCTAAAGTTTCAGGGTGAGCCAGGTGCCACTGGCTATAGGAATCTGGTGAAAATAGTTCCTTCTCTGTAGTTCCACTCTTCACAAAGCCAGGTAGGGTCTCATGTAGGTACCCGCGAATGAACAGAGCCGACTGGCTAATTCCATATACTGTTCATGCCTTGCAGATCAGTGGATCATACAGCCTTGGTGAAGAGCCTGGAGAACACAAAGAAGGCTGATCCAGAGGTGAGAGAAGAACTTTCCATCTTACTGCTGGGTCCTAGCTGGGGAGGTGGACACACGCTCCAACATGAGACACTAAGTCGAGGTGGGCCTGGGTTGTTACAGTTCCCCCAGGAACTGTGCTTTCATTATCACGTCTCAGCTTATAGGCCTGTGCCTGCCATAGAGCAGGGAAGCAGGAAACATTCATCACTGGAATAAGAGCCTCTGAGGAATGGAGAGGGTGGGAACCGGTTGGTCGGATCAGCCCAGGGCAGTAGATCCTGGCCGTGGGCTAGGAAAGAACCCTGGACTTGGAGTCAGAAAACTCTGCCAACTCCCTGTGCCTCCCCCACAAAATGAGGGTAAGGACAAGCACATTTGGCCAGCCTGGCTCATAGGGTTGTTGTAAGGCTCAATGAAATGGTGATATGCAAATGCTTTGTAATCTACGAGGCGCTGTGTAAATATAACTAAGAGTTCTGATACATTCTGGGGTTAAGAAGTCAATGGGTAAGATTAAATATTCAGGGATTTTGGTATTAGTGACTGAGAAATGAATTAATTTCCTGTAAGTCCTCTTCTCTCTCTTTTTTTTTTTTAATGTTTAAAAAGTCCTCTGTGAATATTTCCCTTTCTATCTTTTGGGCTGGAAAAGAGCAGGGTTTTCTCCCAATACGGCCTGGGGGCCCTCTAGAAACCCAAGTATTTGCCACCGAATAATGCTTTCCCAAAGAGTGACAGGACTATGAATCAAAGTGCCACCGACCTCAGGGATGCCAGCTTCAGAGAGGGCTGGCCCGGACATGTTACCCCTCTGAAGGGGATGATGACAATTAGCTGCTGATTAATGCCCTCCTGCCATGACTCTAATTAGAAGGAAATAACCACAGAATACAAGTAATTTAGCAAGATAAAGACTTCCTGCTGTTACCTGAACACCCATCTAAACAAAGATCTTTGGCTTTGGAAGCGACAGTTTGGTTCTTGAAATACTGCTCTTTGCTGACAGTTCATTTTCAAGAAGACTGAAGACCGAATTATCATTATGGATGATAATCCTGTAGCTATCAGTAACCCTTTGAACCCCACCAGTTTGGTGGCTGATGCCCAGAAAATAAGAGCCTTTTCTCTGGTGTATAAGAGTCACCTGATTTTTCGGAACTTTTGTACTATTTTTTTCTCCCCTGTAGAAGCACATTTATACCTCAATAAGTACACAAGAGACGACTGAGGGAGAAGAACCAAGTGGAAAATCAGAGGCCATCTACATGACCATGGTGAGGACGATCGTGGCCAGCTAGGGGTCTAGAGGTGGGAGGAGGGGCTAGAAGGGTACAGCAAGCTTGTGGGTGGTGGTTGTGGCCAGGCTGCCTGGCCAGGTTGCTGTGGGCAGAGATTTTTCTAAGTAGTGGGAAAGTGTGAAAAATTGAGGCTTGCTAAGTACCGTCACACTTGTTGCCTTCATACCAATCTCGAGGATTAAAGGTCACCAATAGAGGTCATTGATTTTAGCGGTGAGAAGGGGTGAAGAGCAGCCTTCCCCATGGGGAGGGGGAACGCCTTTACTTCACCAGTTTAGTCCTGTTCAGTCCTGATTAAACAAAACCGAGTGAAGAGAGTTCAGGTAAATCCTGAGGCCAACATTGTGTTGCAAGGGATCGTTTTCCCTTCTCTCAAAAGGTCAAAGTAAGGCTCAGCACCCATAGCTCAGTGAGTAGGGCACCAGCCACATACACTGAAACTGGCAGGTTCGAGCCCAGCCAGGGCCTGCTAAACAACAATGACAACTGCAACAACAACAACAAAATAGCCGGGCATTGTGGTGCGCACCTGTAGTCCCAGCTACTTGAGAGGCTGAGGCAAGAGAATTGCTTAAGCCCAGAGTTTGAGGTTGCTGTGAGCTGTGACACCATAGCACTCTATTGAGGGCAACAAAATGAGACTCTGTCTCCAAAAAAATGTCAAAGTAAGGTTCCTTCCAATGCTTAAATTTTTATAGAACCTGTGACTTTTTTTTCCTTTTTGAGACCTCTGGTACAGTGCAGTGGTGTCATCATAGCTCACTGCAAACTCACTCCTGGGCTTAGGCAATCAGCCTGCCTTAACCTCCTGAATAGCTGGGACTACAGGTATGCACCATGACGCCCAGCTAATTATTCCATTTGTATTTTATTTATTTATTTTTAATTATTCTATTTTTAGTAGAGATGGGGTCTTGCTCTTGCTCAGGCCGGTCTTGAACTCCTGAGCTCAAAGGGGCCTCTGACCTCAGCTTCCCAGAGCGCAGGATCATAGGTGTGCACCACCGTGCCCAGCCTGAAACTCTGGCTTTTTATATCTTCACATAACCTGACTGCCAGGCAGGCTGCGTGGTGGGTTTCATACGTTAATATGGAGTCTGGTTCCTACTTTCGCTCTGGTCTGACTTCTGTAGCTCCCCAGGGAAGTGCAGGACCTAGAAAAGGCACCTCGCTGTGCAGGGAGTAGGGGTAGGGACAAAAGGAGCTGGCAGTGAGCTCACTGCTATTTGTTGACTAATTATAGGCACCCGGCCCATTAAGGAGCAGTGTTCTGCTGGGTTCAGGAAAGCTGCCTCCTCTACTTGTGGAATGATGGGCTGTGTTTGTTCCTGTCACACCAGCAGAGAGGACACATGACTCCTAGCTGATTGCAGCTGAGGAAGGTCTGCCAGGGAAATGTGAGCTGGGAGACCTGGCCTGGATCCACCAAGTGAGACATGAGCTCCTCTCTGAAGTTGCAGCTGAATAGTCATTCCCCCCACTGCACCCCGTCTCCTTATTGCCATGTGACAGGGCAGTCACCTGCTACGTGAGCCTCAGTCTGGCTTGTAGAGTTCTGCTGATACAGCTGCCTTGTGGCTACTGCTTAGTGTGACACTGTTTGCAGAAACTCTCGGAGGTGGCTATGACATAGGAGTGACAATTGTCTTCACAGCTCCCTTTCCCAGGTTCAGTGCCAGGTGCTTGCGGTTTAGACTCTGGAAAGCAGCATCGCTATCTTCTTGCACCGGATCCAACAGAGGGTGGTGAGAGGCCCAGCCACAATCTCAAAGGCCTTCGGGGGCCAGCAAGATTATTTTGAAACACCATGTGCCAAGTTAAATAAACCCAGGGGAGGATTCAGGACTGCAGGCACAGAGGTGTTCTCTGCTAGGGCACAGGGGTAACAAAGCACCTTCAATCTATTTTTGTTGCTGGTCTGATTGATTTACATACCTGTAGTGAGAACCCCAGGCTGTTTCTCTTTTCTGAGGCTGTACACACGGTGGTTAAGATCACAAGTGTTGGCGCTGCTGTTGATGGCGTCTCCTTGGACGTGACTAGGTTATGTTCTCCTTCGCGAGGGATGATGGGAAATAAAACTCAGAAATCCAGGAAGTGATGAAAACAGTAAAATTATAATTCTGTTCCGCAAACCTGGTGACTATGAAAATCTACGACATCACCTGTCTTGAAGATGGGCCCGTATCAGTACATACAGATTAATCACCTTCTTTTAGCTGGGCATATCATGTATACAGCACTTTTTTTTCTACTTAGGCACCTCCATTGAGCATTGAAAACTTGGGAAGACTCATTTTTAGTCACTGCATAGGATTTCACTGTATGAATGTGGATACACCATGATTTATGGATCCACAGATCCCAGATACGCATAGCTAGAACACATTTTTAGTATAGTTTAAAAAAAAAAGATCACAAGCTTTGGAGTTGGGCAGACCTGGGTCCAAATCCCAAGTCTGTGACCTAGCAGGTGGATGGTCTTAGCCTCTCTGAGCCTCAGTTTCTTTATCCTTACTACTTAAAATGGGAGTGATAACACCTGCCTCATGGGTGGTTGAGGAGCCAATGAGATCGTGTATGTGAAATTCAGAACTGGGCCAGGCTGGTAAGAAGAGCTCAGTGGATGGTACTGCTATTATTACTAGACTACTTCTATTTTTAATTAAAAAAAATTTTTTTTGAGACAGAGTCTTACTTTATCACCTTCGGTAGAGTGCTGGGGTGTCACAGCTCACAGCAACCTCCAACTCCTGGGCTTAGGCGATTCTCTTTCCTCCTGAGTAGCTGGGACCATAGGTGCCTGCCACAATGCCCAGCTATTTTTTTGTTGCAGTTTGGCTGGGGCCAGGTTCGAACCCCCCACCCTTGGTATATGGGGCCGGCACCCTATCCACTGAGCCACAGGCGCTGCCCTACTGGACTACGTCTTCTAAGTTTCTTTCTTCTCTTTCCCCACAGAACCCAGTTTGGCCTTCTCCGAACAAGCCACTTGAAAATCAGTCAGTTGGGGGAATGCCAAGAACAGAGAAAGCATTTTGAGAAGAGAGGAGAGCTGCGTTCATCACAGCAGGAACAGACTCTCTCCTCCCTGTGTCCTGAGCTGCTCTCACAGTTACTTGACTCTCTGCCCTCTCAGCTGTCCTCCTGTCTCCTTGCTTGGTCAAAAGGCTGAAGATGGAGAGTTTGGAGCCTGGAGGGAAGGCTGGACAGCGCTGGAGGAACAGGCCCTGATGACGGGAGGGGGAGCACAGATGGGACACTAGCCCTGGGTAACCCGGCTCAGCTGCCACAGCGGCCTCACGCAATCCGTCAGATCCCACCCTTCAGATCCGACCCTTCCTGGGGCTGGTGTCCTTTGTGGATGAGTGACTGGGAAGAATCACAGAGATAAAAAACAATCCAAGCAATTCCTCTGGTATATTATCTCTAAATAAATATGGTTTGAGGAAATCGTCCCATTTTTATGCTGTGACTGAGAGGTAAATGGAGTCTCGGTGGGGGATTTATAGTCAGGAAGTTCTGGAGGAAAGCAGTGTGGTGACTCGACCCACTGGGGGCTGGTTTGGGGTCTGGAGGGTGGATGTGTTGGAAGTGGGGTGTGACTGCAGCTCTGGGATTTAACCCACTGTTCCTTCATTCCTGCTGGGGGCTGGCTTCATGAGTGGCTCCTTGCCGGGCCTCAGCACAGGCCTCCTGATTCTGAATTTCTAGGTGGAGGTTAGGCATCCGTCTTTTTCAAAAGTCTTCATGGGTTGCTAAAGTGGACAGCCACTGATTTAGTTCTTGGTCTGACCCGTGAGGTTCCTGTACTTTTGGTTACTACTTTAAGATTTGACAGTGGTCTTAGAAATCCTTTGGTTCTAAATGACTTCTAGCCTCCAAAGGATCAGCCGGGACCAGCGGCAGCCTCCTCTCTCGTCCACCACGGCTCTTTCACACTCCCTGCATCCCTTTCTTCCCACTGAGCCATTCCAGGCCACAGAAACAGGTCCTTTCTGGTTCTCCAATTTCTTCGCCAGCCTCAAGTGGGCCTTCATTTTTGAACAATCCCCTTAGCCCTCCAAACAGGAGGAACCTCTGATAACACACTCTGTATGAACTCTTTCTCGGTTGCCAACTCTTCTGGTTGAGCCATGGATAAGACTCATTATGTGTTTGCTGCTCACCTGTTAGCTCCACATGAGGAGTATGTCAGTGATTCCCCATATGAGTCTTAAAGGCAATAAATATCCTAAGCACACCAGGACACACTTGGGTGCGATCAGTAGAGGGGGAGGAAGACTCTGTCCCATCCTAAGTGGTCATGGAGAGGAAGTGGTTTCATGTCTGTGCTATTAAGCAACCTTCTTTCCTGGAATAAGGGCATTACCTTTCAACTTCCTCAAACATACACGTTAGATGCCTACAGGATACAGAGTTAAGTGGATGGATGGTGATTTCACATCTGCTGTTATGGGCCTAAGAAAACAATTGGGATGAGAGCTAGAGGATGGGCTGGAGCTTATCCACATGATCCTCAGAGGACACTGATTCCGGAAATGTAGGTAAACCCAGATTTGAATTTGATTCATTCAGCATTGGGTTCCCATTCTTTTTTTTTTTTTTTTTTGAGACAGAGCCTCAAGCTGTCCCCTTGGGTAGAGTGCCATGGCATCACAGCTCACAGCAACCTCCAACTCCTGGGCTCAAGCGAGTCTCCTGCCTCAGCCTCCCAAGTAGCTGGGACCACAGAAACCCGCCACAACGCTCGGCTATTTTTTGGTTGCTGCTGTCATTGTTGTTTGACAGGCCTGAGCTGGATTCGAACCCGCCACCTTAGGTATATGTGGCTGGCGCCTTAGCCACTTGAGCCATAGGTGCCGAGCCTTGAGTTCCCATTTCGGGCTCAGCAGCTGTGACTGCAGAGGAAGAAGAGGAAGTCTACCTCTCTACTCCAACCCTACCCCACAAACCTTCCTGTTGTACACAGGGCGTGAAGTCAGGGTTGAGGGTGAAAGTGGGTAGCTGTCAAATCACTAGTTTTGGCTAAAAGCAAAACAGCCCTGTAGGGACCCATGAAAAAGATGTGCTTGCCCTCTCACACTCTTCTCACTCTTGCTCAGGCTGGTCTGGAACTCCTGAGCTCAAGCCATCCACCCGCTCCAGCCTCCCAGAGTGCTAGGATTACAGGCATAAGCCACCACACCTGGCCTATCTTCCCAGCTCTTAGCACTGCCACTCTGGAACTGGCTCTTTTATCTTGTGTTTAATGCTAACCAGTTCATGCTATTCAATCTTAATAGCATAATTAAGCAGTATGGGTGATTCAGTCCATCTCTTGTTAATTTTGATTTCTGTGGGCAAGAAGGCCTTGACTACAATACCTAAGTCCTTCTTCTCATCCAGAAACAGAGAGAGTGAGGAAGCTGAGCTTAGACAAGGGCTTTGTAGAGCTCTGAGGGGAGACATTCTGAAGGGCAAGAAAGGTACTGGAGATTCATGTGGTAGGTCCTTTAGCAATCAGTTTTGTTACTTACATTTGCTGTATTTTCAGTCTCTAGAATACCAGATATTCCCATATTTGAAGGTTTCCAAAAGTATGCAGGCCTTTGCCAACAGAAAGTGGTCCCTTGGGTGGAGGGAGTGGGGCCACTCAGGAACCCTGAAGAATCTAATAGTTTCAGAATTTGGTTATTAAAGTTGAAAACAGCTGGGCATAGTGACTCACACCTGTCCTCCTTGCACTCTGAGAGGCCAAGGCAGGTGGATTGCTTGAGCTCAGTAGTGTGAGACTTTCTGAGCAAGAGCAAGACCATCTCTATTAAAAATGGAAAAACTAGCTGGGTGTGGTGGCGGGTGCCTGTAGTCCCAGCTACTCGGGAGGCCAAGGCAAGAGGATCTCTTGAGCCCAAGAGTTTGAGGTTGCTGTGAGCTATGATGCAACAGCACTCTACTGAGGTTGACAGAGTATTTCAAAAAATAAAAAATAGAATTGAAAACAGTTCAGCCTGTCCACTAGTAACCAGTAGAAGATGAGCTGCCTGTAAGAGGCTGCAGCCATCTGCCAGTGCTTTAATCTTGCCACTTCATTTTTCTTCCTCTTAACTAGTCAGTATGCTCATATGTTTATGCTGGTAATTGACAATTTTCTTTCATAAAACACTAGGGGTGTGTGTGTGTATGGTTGGAGGGGGTCAAGCTACAACTGAATTAGCTCAGTTTCTTAGAGCTGAAGAGCCTTAGGTTACAAGTTTTATTTAAACCCGGACCAGTTACCCTCTTGCTAAGCATAAACAAAGTTTCCCAGACCACTGACTTTCTGTTCTGGCCAGCTGGTTTGCAGATGTGGTCTAGTCTTCTTCAAAGGAGGTCAGGCAATCCATTACCACTTCTGTAAAACCTAACTCCCAAAGTATCTTATCTTCATATAAGAATAAGGGAACTTGAAATTTTCTCAGAAAGCTGAGCCCTTTCCTCTTTTACAGATGGTGAGAGCAATACTTGTCCGACAACTTTCAAAGGCAGCTGTCTGATTGCTGGGGATGTTTGTGGCCTTCTGTGTGCTGGTGACATCTTGTCTTCCCATCCCTACCTCCATTTTTTTTTTCATGACAAGAACCCTCCACTCCTTGCATATTTTTTGTCTTTTCTGCCCCAGAGACTTTGCTCTTGGTGCATTCTTGCCCAGAATGCCCTTTCCTTTCTTATCTGCCCAAATCAAAATTCCTTCAAGGCCCTGCTTGGGTCCCTCTTGGGCCATCTCCTATTTCTCACATCTTCCTAGATGTCTCTACACTTGATCAGATTTTATCTTCCATTGTCTTCTAATTAGTTTATAAGTACCATCTTTATTTTTTCTTAGAGATCTGAAGCTCTTAGGCCTTTTCTGTAACCTTTGCAGCATCTGACCCCGTGTGGGTCAATCCTTTCCTGAATGAAATTCCCAGGGAGTGGAGTGGAATAGTATGCATGGGAAGCTGCTGGACCAGGCTCCCTGTCCCAATCCTACACCTTTGCTGGGGAAGTTCAGGCTGATGGGATCTCTGCCCTTTCCCTGGATATGAAATAAACATTCCCTCAGCCTCATCTGCTCGGCACCAAAGGAGATCCAGCACATGCTCAGAAGAATAAGACACAATCACTGTCCTTAGAGAGTTACAGTCTAGTTGGGGAGGTCTGGTGTGTAAATAATGACAGTACTCTGACTCTGTTAGCACAGAGGCCCAAGCAATATTGGGTGTAACTTCACTCCCATACATCCAGCAGATGGGATTGTGCTCATCCTGCTGTTTTGGGAGTTTACACACTTATCTCCCTACCCAGAACGAGCTCTCAAAGAGGTAGCTGTATCTCATTAGTTTCTGGGTTTCCCGTTTCTAGCCTACTGTCTAGCATGTAGGAGGTCGTAAAACAGATATTTGAGTTTGTCAAATGAGAGACTTGATTGATAAAGAGTGACAGTACCCAGGGCTACAGAGCACAGAGAGAAGAGGTGTTTAGAAGATCAAAAGTCAGTGATTTGGGGGGTGGCGCCTGTGGGTCAAAGGAGTAGGGTGCCAGCCCCATATGCTGGAGGCGGTGGGTTCAAACCCAGCCCCAGCCAAAAACTGG